ATATTTTTTTCTTTCCCAGCACAAGGAGCTCTTTATTTTACTGTATGTTGTGACAGGGAAAGAAATTTCAGTGACTTTTTGACCTCTACTAGATGAGTAGCTTTATTTGACAGAAAAACCCACATCCAAAATCTATTTCAGAGTCAGCACGAAGTTGCTTGTGTAATAAACCCCTTGAGATACAAGCATACAACATTTGTTTCTGTATAATTAGTCACATATATCAACCAATTTGTGAGCAGTATTTGGTTACCAAGAAAAATGGAACATCTTTCAATTAATGCATCAGAATGCTGGACAGGAAAATTGCAAATGCAGAACAGCACCAAAACATTACCATGCCATAGATTTCCTGCCCACTCTTGAAATGACCACCAGGTATGTTCAGCAGAAAGCATATACTTAGCTACTTTTGGGGGGAATGTGGTCTCCTTTCTGACTAAAGAATAGACTCTAAAAGTAGCTGTTTGCTCTGCTCTTCCATATAAAAAGAACTGGAATAAGAAAATGCTCCAACCATGTTGGGAGGAAAATGTCTGCTTTATTCGGTTTCCCCTGTTTACAAGTATTGCAGCATTCTCCATCTACCCAGGGCTACCTGAGCTTTCCCTGACTACAAGAAAAAATGAGATGGGGAGAGAAGATGACACTAAGCTAAGGGGAGAGGTAGATACACTGGAGGGCAGGGATAGAGTCCAGAGTGACCTAAACAGATTAGAGGATTGGGCCAAAAGAAATCTGATGAGGTTCAACAAGGACAAGTGCAGAATCCTGCACTTGGGATGGAAGAATCCCAAGCATTGTTACAGGCTGGGGACAGACTGGCTAAGCAGCAGTTCAACAGAAAAAGACCTGGAAATTACAGTGGATGAGAATCTGGATATGAGTCAACAGTGTGCCCTTGTAGCCAAGGCTAACTGCTTATTAGGGTGCGTTAGTAGGAGCATTACCAGCAGATCTAGAGAAGTAATTATTCCCCTTTAGTCGGCCCAGGTGTGGCCACATGTAGAGCATTGTGCCCAATTCTGGGGGCACCATTACAGAAAGGATGTAGATGCATTGGAGAAAGTCCAGCAGAGGGCAACAAAAGTGTTTAGGGGGCTGGAGCACATGATTTATGGGAAAAGGCTGAGGGATTAAGGCTTATTTAGTCTACAGAAGAGATGAGTGAGGGCAGATTTGATAGCAGCCTTTAACTACCTGAAGTGGGGATTCTAAGAAGGATGGAGAGAGACTGTTCTCTGTGGTGACAGATGACAGAACGAGGAGCAATGGTCTCAAGTTACAGGGGAAGAGGTTGAGGTTGGATATTAGGAAAAAGTATTTCACTAGAAGGGTGGTGAAGCACTGGAATGGGTTACCTAAGGAGGTGGTGGAATCTCCATCGCTAGAGGTTTTTAAGTCTCGGCTTAATAAAGCCCTGGCTGGGTTGGTTTAATTGCGGTTGGTCCTTCTTTGGGCATGGGGTTGGACTCAATGACCTCCTGAGGACTCTTCCAATCCTAGGATTCATGGGGCCCTGGTTAAGTTGTCGTAGTGGGATATTTGTGTGTGTGTAAATACTTATGCAGACTGGGAGTGAAGAAGTGCTATTATTTTTGATTCAGTGGAGGTAGTGATTATGGGTGAATAGTGCTATGTCCTCAGAGATATTACCTGAATCTCTAAGGAATCCTTGAATAATTTCAAAACATTTTCCAAGTAAGTATTTGGATGTCTTTTCCTCTGACCTAAATTCCTGCCAAGGACTAGGAAATGGAATCAATTATTTTTTGTCATGAAGGTCAGTAACACTCCCATATCACTGTCTCACAAAAAATACATATTCAGTAAGAGAGATTAACTGAAATGAGTTTTGTTCCCATTCAAGGTTTGGATTAACTATTAATCTTTGTCCAATGGAAACAAAAACAGACTTCTGTTGTTTTAGCTGATTTTCATTAACAGAATTAGTTTGCCTGGTATTTCACATCGTTGCTTAGACTCAAAAGTATTAGCAGGAGAATAAAAGAATTACCACCAATTCTAATGCAGGGCTACTGAAGTATTAACCATACAAAGACATTGTAAAGAGAATTTGATATATCTAGTTGGTAGTGAGATATTGCAAAACATCAGTTCATATATCTTCATAGTTGAATATCACTGTTACCTCACTTGCCACACAATGGTCAGCCCTGGAGTTGTAACCTCACTTACGGAGTTCTCTCTCAGCAGTTTCCTGGATACCAGAGAATGATGAACTTAATTCCAGTGGCCTGCAATAAGAGGCCCGTTCAGATAAACAAAGCAGAATAAATGAGTCACACTGCAGTTTCAGCTTAATGAGTACAGAGTTGCTTGGGCCTATACTACATATTATCATCTCTCCCCTTTTTAGACATCCTTTTTTCTAGTTTCCATAGCTACAGTAAAGGCTTAGGACATGAGTATGTTATGCAACCTCCTAGAGTTGGCTCAGTGGCAAAAATCCACACCCACATCTCATAAAAATATGGTGGCCAACTGCTAGATGATTCACTTAATCTTTCTAAAAATAAGAACAAATCAATTAGAAGCTCTCAGTACTGTAAATCAAGATTATAGTGGGATAACACCATATTTTTATTTATATATCACCTTTTATCCGGAACGGTCCTAATGTAAAGTACTTTATTTATCAGCTTCTTTTTATTTTCAGAATAGTTCCATAGACTCTCTCACACACATTAAACTCCTAGGGCATAGAATGTTCATTGATAAAAAATCAGAATATCGAGAATAAAAGGACAACATAATCTAAAAACACCGTGTAAAGGGTCCAGGTCAGCGGGAGGCCACGATGGCTCTCTAGACAGCTCAGCAAAAGAGCAATTGCAGTACTGCAGTCACCACACAGTTTGCTCAGTACGTCTCAGCCTAGCCACAGGTCAAGCAACAGTTTATAAAGGCCACACCCTTGGTCAGGGCAAGCGCCAAATAAGCAGTTTAAATAGCCAGAGACTCATACCTCCCAGTAGGGAGGAAGCATAGCTCTGTAGTTTGAGCACTGGCCTACTAAAACCCAGGGTTATAAGCTCAATTCTTGAAGGGCCATTTAGGGATCTGGGGCAAATCTGTCAGGGACAGTACTTGGTCCTGTCATGAGGGCAGGGGATTAGACTTGATGACCTCTCAAGGTCCCTTCCAGTTCAATGAGATAGATATATCTCCATATTTTTTTTTAATTTTTAGGCTGACACACAGTTTATAAGGCCCAGCCTGCAGCTCAGGCAGAGCCTTAGATCAACAGTTAAGGGCCTCGCCTGGAGCACAGCCCTGGGCAAACAGTTTTTAAGGCCCAGCCCTGGGTCAGGATGGGGCAGACAGACAAACATTTAACACAAACAGTTCAACAACAGTTTAAAGCTCCAGCTGGATCCCAGACAGGCGGGGGTCCAGTCTCCTTGCTGGCGGAGAGCCGACAAGCACAGGGGTTTGGACCCCCACAGGAGGAAGGCTGCCACCTAAGGGGAAGGGTGGCAGGGGGGGATGCAGGCCTATCCGCTCCACTACATTCCAGCCCAGGGCTCTGAGAGTGGCAGCATGGCAGCTACTGGGTCGGCAGGGATCCTGACCACAACACACCGACCAGGTCTCTGTGTCAGTGGGGATCCAAGCCACAATACACTGCCCACCTGACCTCCATCTCCTCAGTCACTTCCCCTGCGAAGGCTCCAGCCATGTTGCGCCCAACAGGAGAACAGGTCCACCTAGGCCACTTCCCAGGTCCCCATGGGGGCCTACCTAGCTCAGGCGCTGCTCCTTGGGGTCAGCTGGGGATGGAGGTGTTGGCAGTGTGTCTGTAGATTCTGGCTCAGACCGGGGCCTAGGTGGACCGGTCCAGTCATCGGGGCCTAGCAAGGGTCCTGGAAGTCTCGGCATGTCTTCGGGCCATGGCTGCAGTCTCAATGGCCCAGGCCAATCATTGGGGGCCAGTAGGGGTCCTGGTGGCCCAACCCAGTCCCCCTGTTGGGCGCAGCATGGATGGGCCCTTTGCAGTGGGAGCTGGGGCAGAGCATCAGGCCTGTTCGGCCACCAGGCTCTAACTGAGCTCTGAGCTCTTATACTCCTAGTCCCACCTTCCTGCTTCCTATAGGCAGAGCTAGGAGAGGCTGGACATGCCCACCAAGGGATCTTAGAGGGCCCTTCCTCTTCCAGAGGGAAGCCATGTTTCTGTCCTAGACTCATTACACTCTGTCGTCATAATTTATAAATATCTTCAAGATATGAACAGAAGGGAGAGAGGGAAAGATTTCAGATACAAAACATTAGCCATGGAATGAATACTCAAGAAAGAAGGCCCAGACATCATCACTAGAGATAGTTAAGAACAGGGGAATACGTTATTAGAAGGAAAAAAAACAATCTTACAAAATCAGAGGTCTGAGCAGACATGTAAACAGTATTTTCCAGTTCTATAATATATGAACTAGATCTTCAGCTAGTATAAATCAATGTAGTTTAATTAGCTAGCATGATTTACCCCAACACAGGATCTGGCCCTTAAAATGTAGAATTTTATCATGATGTTAATAGCAAAAGGTAGGATGCACATGTGATGACCAAGTTACATTTTTTTTATATGTTCAGAACTGCCATTGGGAAATATAAATACCTGGCATCAACTGAAAAATTAAAACAAAAGTAATAATTGATTTTCCAGAATTAAAAAAAAACCTGAATTTTATTCTTCTGAATGGACCTTCTTCTCCTTTCTATTGTGTCTTTGACTGCCTCCATGTTCTCTAGTTTTCTTTATATGGTTTTTCATATTTTGTCTGACATTTTCAATTTATAAAATCACTGCCTTTAATTCATGGTTGTTATTCACTACTTTCAGGATGATTAAGATTTTTCTTGGACCAATGATAATTGGCTACAGTTTCTTCTCTGTTTTGACATAGTTATCTACTCTCCAGTTAATTTTTTACACCATTACATTTTTTTGAAAGTTTCTTGAAATGTTGTTCTTTGCTGGCAAATCTTTGGTTGCTTTCTTTTGTTTTTTGGAGAGCTGGAGAATATTTATCTGAAGCATTCTGCTTCTAAGAAATAGACTCCACTTCACGTGGATCCAGTTTTGGCAGAACCACTGTCATGGTATCTTAGCTTGCAGGCTCATTCATGCACTGTCTTCTCTTCTGCCAGTAAGGGTATAAATTAAAGCTAATAGTTGGTAGCTTGTCTAAATTGGCCACTTCCTATAAAGTGCACACTATTCAAATGGGACTTTCATCACCTATAAAATTTGGTGTTATTAGAATATTTGAATTTCCAAATTCAGTTATATGGGCTGCTGCAAATAACACAGGTAGGCTACATCTACACTGGCACCCTTTTCCAGAAATGCTTAAAATGGAACAGTTTTCCGTTATAAGTATTTCCAGAAAAAGCGCGTCTACATTGGCAGGATGCTTTTCCAGAAAAGCACTTTTTCCGGAAAAGCGTCCTTGCCAATGTAGACACGCTTTTCCGCAAAAAAGCCCCGATCGCCATTTTCGCGATCGGGGCTTTCTTGCGGAAAACACTACTGTGCTGTCTACACTGGCCCTTTTCCGGAACAGTTTTCCGGAAAAAGGACTTTTGCCCGAACGGGAGCAGCATAGTATTTCTGGAAAAGCGGCTGATTTCTTACAGTAGATCGTCAGTGCTTTTCCGGAAATTCAAGGGGCTAGTGTAGACAGCTGGCAAGTTATTCCGGAAAAGCAGCTGATTTTCCGGAATAAGTGGCCAGTGTAGACACAGCCGTAATGTCCAGATTTAAATGCATACATTCTCTGACATTTAATAGCCAGCAGATGGACATTACTTTTAGGACTAGATCATGCCCTAGATATTGTTGCCTGCTTCTTGATATGCCTAGCTTGCTCCATGAGTGATGCATCAACACAAGCCATGTCCTTAATTCTTCCCAGACTTCTCTCACTTTGGGGTAATGTGTGCTTATTCTGGAAGTGCAAGCCTCTGCACTCCCCTAACACAGGCCAGTAACTGTCCCTGACCCAGTACATTCAGTAGAAAGGAAGGCTCTCTGCACCCATCTTCCACAAAGCTCCAGCTAGTTGTTCTTAACTTAGTTAGGATTCAAACTATGGCCCTAGAAAGACTCTATATCCCATTACCATAGCTTTGACAGGAGTTAGAGTCCATATTCTTTATATTTAATTTTTAAATCCCTGCCTTTTGATACGTTGAGGTTCACCATGAAACCATGAGAGCAATGCAAGGTTGACTAATAACTGAATCTACATCGCAGAGAGCCATAAAGCTAAACCCTGCTTTGTATGTGAAGAAAGTTTGAAACACCACCAGGGTGACACAAATGACCAGACCGATTCAAAAATCCATTTTCCCCAAAGGCTCAGAAACCTCTCTTCCCTTGCCAGTGAACAATGAGATTTCCTTGCATAAATTTGAGAGAAGTTCTGCATTATCGCACATACAGTACTGTTTACATAACACATGCACTGGTAATTGGCAATGAAAGATGATTTTAAAAAGCTTTCTTGATACACAATACTGTATGAAATTGCTGTATTTCCATTATTTGGGGGGTTTTATTCATTGTAACTTTTCCTAAAGCCTTCCATCACTGAATCATACTTATAATCACTGCCAATTCTCAGAGTCATCCAGACTCATCTAATCATAGGGTATGTCTACACTACCCCGCTAGTTCGAACTAGCAGGGGTAATGTAGTCATCCGCAGTTGCAAATGAAGCCCGGGATTTGAATTTCTCGGGCTTCATTTGCATGAAGCCAGCCGGCGCCATTTTTAAATGCCGGCTAGTTCGGACCCCGTGCCGCGCGGCTACACGCGGCACAGACTAGCTAGTTCGGATTAGGTTTCTAATCCGAACTAGCTGTACGCCTCATGGAACGAGGCTTCAAATCCCGGGCTTCATTTGCAACTGCGGATGACTACATTACCCCTGCTAGTTCGAACTAGCGGGGTAGTGTAGACATACCCATAGTTCTAACAGACAAAAAGGTCACTTAGCCATACAGTCAGGTAAAACATCGTCACATTATTAAAATATGACAAATGTATTTATATTTTCAAAATTCAGACTTGGGAATGATTCCAATGTCTTTCTTTGTAATCTGAACTCTATAGGGAGGAGGCAGGGGATGCATTCCTCGCAGCACTCTGATCCCTTATGTGAGGAGGCACAGGATATGGGAAGGACAGACAGAGCAGGACACAAGGAGATACTAGAGGAGGGAGTCAAACAGAC